TGCAGGCGACTCGGAGGAGGAGGACACGGGTTTCCTGGAAGTCACCGTCTCTGACATGAAGCATCCACCCCCGGAGCTGGGCCCCATGCCCGAGGGGTTGAGCCCACAGCAGGTCGGTGTGGGGCCCGTTGGGGGTTCAGGGGGGGTTTGGATGGAGGAGGGGGGGACACACACAACACAAGGCTTCCCCTTGGTGCCATGATTGAGCAACCGAGGAAAGGGCGAGTCAGCAGAAAGCAATGCTGCTGTGTCAGCACTTCTGCAACACGCTATGCCCACTTTGTGTGTGTGTGTGTCCCCAAAATCCTGCTCTTTGGAGCTGGGGGGGCCACGGCTGAGCCCCGACATCGTTGCAGGTGGTAAGAAGACACATCCTGGGCTCCATCGTGCAGAGCGAGCGGAGCTACGTGGACTCCCTGAAACGCATCCTGCAGGTGGGGGGACCCCTTTTTGGGGGAGCGTCAGGGCGGGGTGCAGGGATCTGGGGGGGTGCTGATCTCCCCCAGCATCTCCCGCAGGATTACAGATTTAGGGGTGCTGATGCCCCCAGCATCTCCTGCAGGATTACAGGAACCCCTTGATGGAGATGGAGCCGAAGGTGCTGAGCGCCAGGAAGTGCCAGGTGGTGTTTTTCCGCCTGAAGGAGATCCTGCAGTGCCACTCCATGTTCCAGATCGCCCTCGCCTCCCGCGTGGCCGAGTGGGACTCGGCGGAGAAGATCGGGGACCTCTTCGTGGCCTCGGTAGGAGGAGAAGTCAGGAGACCTCTACCCAACCCCCCTGAACCCCTCTCCATGATGGGAGGATTTAAGGGAAGGACTCCAAACCTGGGGTACCACCAGCATCCTCAGCATCGCTCCAAAAATACCCAGTCCACCCCCTTGCTTTGCTGATCCCCCCCTTTTTTTGGGGGAACCCCACACCATTGCAGCTCTCCTGCCTCTCCACAGTTCTCCAAGTCAATGGTGCTGGACGTCTACAGCGACTACGTCAACAACTTCACCACTGCCATGTCCCTCATCAAGAAGGCTTGTCTCACCAAACCCGCCTTCCTCGACTTCCTTAAGGTCAGCAGGACCCAAAAGTGGGCGCACGGTCCTACTGGTCACTGTTCTGGGTGAAAACTCCTCTTTTTTGGCTTCTTTTCCTCCCTGCAGAAGAGGCAAATGGCCAGCGCTGATCGAGTCACGCTTTACGGGCTGATGGTGAAGCCCATCCAGAGGTTCCCTCAGTTCATCCTACTCCTGCAGGTGAGGGATCCCTGCACCCACCTGGCTTTGCACCCTTTTGTTTTGCAGCCTGGGTGCTGCTGGAAAGGGTTTAGCAAGGCTTTGGGTTGGCAGCTTGGTTGCAGCTTTGGGCACCATCCCAAAGATCATCTTCCAAACTTGGCTTTTGGAGGTGCTGAAGGCACTTCCAATCGTAGCATCCTCAACAGGGCTGACTTTGCTGGGGTGGCTTTTGTCCCCCATCCTTCCCCCACTTCCAGGACATGCTGAAAAACACCCCCAAGGGCCACGCAGACCGCCTGTCCCTCCAACTGGCCCTCACTGAGCTAGAGACCTTGGCGGAGAAGCTCAACGAGCAGAAGCGCTTGGCCGACCAAGTTGCTGAAATCCAACAGCTCAGCAAGAGCATCAGTGACCGCAGCAGCCTCAACAAGGTGGGTCCTTCAGCCTCACCCCTCCTCATCCTCAGGACGGGGGAGTTTTGGAGCTGGGGGTTGAGCTTTGTAGCTTCCGCCTTCCTCTCTGCGCTGGGAGTTTTGGGAAGCCAGGATCCCTGTTTTCTCCGAAAGGATTTTGGGCAAAAGCAAAGCTTGAGGGAAATTCCCCCCCCAGGGAAAACTGTGGAGCTGTTTTGTCTCATCTGCCTGATTTTGCAACTCTTGGTGGGAGGGGAAAAAATAACCCAAACCCCAAATGAAGCTCTTGCGACACATCCTGGGCTGGGGATGGCTGTGGTGGCAAAAACCGCAGTGGGGCACCCACCAGCTCAGCCCTGGGATCAGGATTTAGGGCCAGGGGGTGAAGGGAGACCAAAAAGGGTCTTCAAAAGACCATGTTGGTCTTTCAGGGCTCTGCTCTCTTGGTGGTTGGGCACACAGGGTGTAAAGGGTTTTGCATAATGGACCTCAAATCCTGGGGTCAGTTTTGGGCCCCTCACTCCAAGAAGGACCTGGAGGGGCTGGAGTGTGGACAGAGAAGGGCAACGGAGCTGCTGGGGAAGGGTCTAGAGCCCAAGTGTGGGGAGGAGCAGCTGAGGGAGCTGGGGGTGCTGAGCCTGGAGCAAAGGAGGCTCAGGGGAGACCTTCTGGCTCTGCACAGCTCCTGACAGGAGCCTGGAGCCAGGGGGGGGTCGGGCTCTGCTCCCAAGGAACAAGGGACAGGCCCAGAGGAC